GTGGGTGTGGGTGTGGGTGTGGGTGTGGGTGTGGGTGTGGGTGTGAGGGTGGGGTGTGGGTGTGAGGGTGGGGTGTGGGGGTGTGGGTGTGGGTGTGGGTGTGGATGGGTGTGGGTGTGGGTGTGGATGGGTGTGGGTGTGGGTGTACCTATGAATAAAAGTAAGATTAACATCCACACACCCACACCCACCCACACCCATACCCAAACCCAAACCCACACACCCACACCCATACCCAAACCCACACCCACACCCTCTTTACATGCTTGCCTTGCATCATCCATTCATCTGATTATTGCGAGAACATGAACCGGTGAGTTTTTAAATCATCCACTAATGTGCGAAACATAATACGTTTTGTATTTGCGAAAGAGAAAAGAATAGCATATGTCTTATTTTTTCATAAAAGAGGTATATCGTTTTCCTTTTAATGTTTGTGACATCATTGAGTTGTATTATTAACAGCAACAATGGGTGCAAGCGAAAGTATAGCTATTCAAGTAAACTTTAATAGACCAAACCGTTTTTATTTTGTTGGTGAACAAATATCGGGCAATATATTGTTTCAAAATGATCAAGATAAGTTGAAATTGGAATCGATAATTTTCAAACTCATCGGCGAACTTGGTTATACGACACAAGAGAGCCGTTCTTCTACCGATATCAATGGGAAAACCACTACAGAAAATTACACTGATTATCATGATATACCATTCTTTTCTATTAGTTTACCTCTCGCTCGACCTATCGATGGACGAGTAAGAAGCTATTGATAGAATTGTTAAGACATATTTAGTATTTTGTTTTTACTTCAGCAGAAAATGATTCTTGATCGTGGCACACACACGTGGCCATTTGAGTTTAGGCTTCCAGAGAATTTACCTCCATCATCAAGTCCCAACAATGAATCATATCCTCATATCAAATACTACGCTCAAGTCATCCTTGGGAGACAATGGTACAAATCAAACATCAGACAAACACATATTTTCACGATTTCTCCTCGTATGAATATTCTTCGCATGAACGATACTCAAGGGACACAATCGTTTGCTCATCAGAATCGTAAACAACTCCGTTTACAATGTTGTCTGCTTCAGGATGCTATTGTACCAGGTAAAACGCTCTCTTTTCAAATAAATCTTCACAATCCTCAACGGTCGAAAATAAAAAGAATTGAAGCCATTTTCATGCAATGTAGGCAAACTGCTTTCGACCGTCATTATGAAATTATTGTTTCTGCTGATTTACCTAATTTGAGCGAATTCAATGAATTATATTTACAACGTAATTTCGAACTTCTCGTACCTAATATTTATTTAACACCTACCTCCTCATTTTCGACATCATTTCATGGCTATTCGCATTATATTACCGTTCATTATGAGCTCAAACTACAAATAAAATCACATGGAATATTTACAGATTTTCAATTGAGCGTTCCAGTTATTGTTGATATAGACACAATATCGGAAGAATGACAGCAGCAACAAAATGCTGGTTGCCTAATGCCCTCAAATACTAGTACTTTTTTCAGCAAAATGATCTCCTACTAAACTATGAAGTGATAGTCAATAATAAGTAGCACAGACAGGTCAAAATTGATTGCTTTGCTTTGCTTCTTTTTCAAAAGATAAATGCCAGTAACTTTAATAATCCTTAATATTCCTTTGATAAAGTGTTCGAGTTTCGTCGAAAAAAAAACACAATCATTGATCGATGCACTCTGGTAGAAAATGCAGGTATGGGTATCAGTTTCGGTATGAGGCGTGGATGTATGAAGACGCCAAACGTGGTGATTTAAAAAAGTGATGTTGCGATAAAAAGTAGATTTATATTCAGTGCACGTGAACGCTTTGTACGACAACTGTTTACTAGTTCATGTTTCCGCATTCAAATACTCATCTCTACATATCAGAAAATCCTTCCTTCGTAGAAGACTCCGTACGAAAAGGATGAGTGTGCGGGTTTGAAAATGAGTATGCATAAGGATCAGTATCGACGTGGATATGTTTGTAAGTTTCAGTGTGTAAGAAGAGAAGAAACATATCCAAAACTTCATCTTACTATTGGTCGCCCGACTCAAACCAGAAGCACTTGCAACCATACACGATGGAAATATCTCTTCCAACACTTGAACCCATACTTACGCCAGTATCCATATCTTCAAGAATCCATTTTTCTATAGCGAAAAACTGTTTTCGTTAATTTTTTGTGTTGATGTACCTACTTTGTAGAGTGGCTCTCATATTTTGAACCATTACAGGGAGCGCTTAAGTAGTAAAAGTATTGTTCTGCTTGAGCTTTCATGAATGTTCCCCACAGTGACGGATCCAGGATTTTTTGACATACTGTGTCTCAGTTTCAGAGTATGGGACCCAGATGAAGCTTATGGAGGGTGATATTGGATACAAATGATGAGTTTTTACCAAAAAAAAAAAATTTGCGATTGGCGTTTGCGAAAAAAATCCTTTTTCCGTCCGGACCCCCTTTGATTTTTCTTGCTTCTAGTAGTATTCGATTTTTGAGAATGCCACCATAATCTACATCGAATTTCATCAAGACACATTAAATTTCATCTAGAAATATGCATCTGTTCAGCAGTTACAACATTTGGAATTTTTGCAGCATGTAACAAAAATTGCCAGAAAAATTCAAAGCGTCATAACTGCTGAGCGGATGCATATTTTTAGATGAAATTCAAAATCTCCAGATGAAGTTCCATGTAGATTATGGTGGCATTCTCAAAAATCGAATACTACCAGAAGAAAAAACATCAAAGGGGGTCCGGACGGAAAAAGGATTTTTTTTCGCAAACGCCAATCGCAAAAACTTTTTTTGGTAAAAACTCATAATTTGGATCTAATATCACCCTCCATAAGTTTTGTCTGGATCCCATGCTCTGAAACTGAGATACAGTATATCAAAAACCCCTGGATGCGCCACTGGTTCCCCATACTCTTAAATATTCATTTATCATATATAAATGATTATGCCCTCACTGTATGTTCTGTCCTTATATTAAAACATCTGTAATACACTCTATAACTCGTCAAAGAACTCTAAATTCTGATTTTTTGAGATCAATTGACGAAAAACAAGCTTCACAAGGGTTTTATCTTATTCCAACTTTTCTTCAGTATAATAAAAGCCAACTATCATGCCGGAGTATACAACGTGCTAACTATGCAGTCATGTATCGAAAGTTAGGTTTCAAGCATATAGGATTTGTTTTTAGTTTTGTTTTTATCGCTTCCACTATTATAGAAATTGGTGTTGATAAAAAAAAAACGATTTGATTAAACAAGATTAGTTAAATTAGCTGCAAAAATAACACATGTAACAGGGTCAAGCAATTGAAATCGTTACATTTACTTGTTTCTTCTCGTCACTGTTTGCTGTACCATATTATTGTCCGCTATTGACACAAATTCTAAAGGGCTAAAATTGACAAAGAAAAGATACTACTAAAATGTTCTAAATAAATACGAACCTCGAAATTATATGAACTAATTTGACTAAGAAGAAAGAATATACAAGTTATGACAATATCCATTTAAGCACATCAAAATTGAATTAGAAAATCTGAAAATTCATCGAGTAGCACCTCAAATAAAAAGAGGAATAGTTGGTAATAAAACAAAGAAAATGTAAATGTTGAAGGAAAAGCGTTAGATATGATAATAATCAAAGACTTTCACTTCTCTAGTTTTCCTGCATCCCTCCATATAATGAATCAAATTGTGAAGAAAGGTTTTATACACAGCTCGAGATGCTCTACAAACCAAATAGACCAAACACAAAACTTGACCAAATATGTGTTTCATTTTAGAGAACTCATTTTGGAGAGAACTGGAGCGTTGAAAAACCAGAGATAAAAGTCATGTTGATAATCTGGGTCAGCATGACCGATTACGCATATTTCATCAGGCTTTTACTCAAAAAAGGACGATTAAACGGTCGGTTATCTTCTACTGCGAGAAGTATTCTGAATTGATTTGTATTTATTTTTCTGTTCATAGCTTTCGTTCTGTCTCTCTTATAACGCATATTTCGAGCAGCAGAAAAATCAACAGCTTCTTAGAAGACATTATTTATCGTCAACATATTTTCTATTGCTTTAGTGTAAGTCAGCTTGAGCCTAGTCTCATCTAACCGGTAGTGATCGCCTCATTCAAGTCATATGCGTTTTATCGATCTGAATTCACTCGAAAAATAAGATTATATATCGAATTTCTGTCATTTGACTGCATGTTTTTCGCCTTCGATCCTGTAGGAAATACGATCGTATTTGATTGATTCAACCTAAACATGTTTGTTTGCGACTGACTGAAGCTCATATTTCAACAATCAGCAAATGCATATCAAAACTGTGGGAACGAATTTCTTTCTTTTTTGTTTGTCATAAATAACGAACGCAGTCGGCTACCAAAAAGTGTATTGTTCCTTTGTAGTATTGTGCTGTCGATGTAATCTGTCACGCGGCGGCAAATCATGACTGTAAAGTCTGCTTTTAAATTATATGAGAAGGGTTGTGGGTGTGGGTGTGGATGTGGGGTATGGGTGTGTGGGTGTGTGGGTATGGATGTGTGAGTATGGATGCTAATGTGAATCTTGTCTTTAGTCACACACCCACATCCTACCCACTTTCACAACTTCATCTTGATATTTTCTTTTTGATTAATCTATTCTGGCTCGTTTTGGGTGTGGGTGTGGAGTGAGGGTGTGGGTGGGGGTGGGGGGTGGGGGTGGGAGTGTGGGTGTGTGAGTGGGTGTGGGTCGGTGTGGGTGTAGGTGTGGGTGTGGGTGTGGGAGGGGGGGTGTGGGTGTGGGTGTGTGGTGTGGGTGTGGGTGTGAGTGTGGGGTGGGCGTATATATAGACAATTATTCCATCACCCACACACCTACTCCTACACCCAGACCCACATCCACCCACACTCACACCCACACCCACACCCACACCCACACCCACACCC